GTATGTATGTATGTATGTATGTATGTATGTATGTATGTATGTATGTATGTATGTATGTATGTATGTATGTATGTATGTATGTATGTATGTATGTAGTGTGCAGCGGAAGAGTCGTCTTTCCATGCACCTTTCTCACGACTGGTAGAATAGCCAAGATAGGATAGGTAATAGTGATTAATCACGATGATGATAATATGATAATAATAATAAACCAATAAATAATAAAATAAAGAGTGTATGCGAATACACAGTATACAGTATGTCAGTTAAATGCGTCTAAGTCGCCAAGCATTTACTACCTAGGTAGGTATTGATTCGAGCATTTAACTGCCATAGAGTCGACGATAGTGAGGCGCGAATTAGGTGGAATTGCCGACGCCTCCAAACTAACAATAAGCAACATGTAGTATAGTGACTTGGGTATTGCTGCATGCGTAGACAGACATGAACGAGAAAAAAAGGCTCCTTCTCCTTCTTGAGATGCTGTTGGTCGAAATCCCCGGTTTGATACATAGGTAGGTACCTACGATGTAACCCCCGTCTTATCTACAATTCCCCCACTACAGGATAGGTATGTATATAAAGTACCTAGGTACCTATATACACTACCGGTGTTTCATCGATAGAAACTTCCAAGGTTTAGTAGGTTTAGTTATCTTAAATCGCCGTTTCAATATTCTTCCAGCTCCGGCACCCACCAGTGGATTTTTGCAGCCAAGATTTTCACATTACGGTGGATTCCTAATTCATATAAAAGCTTCATCCTCACCCTCCGCGAGTCGAGCTGTCATCTGCTCCTGCGATGCCACCACGCATACCAGGCCCGTCGACGGTATCATCCGCCTTGACCCGATACCTAGTCTCATCGGCCTCAAGTCGATGTCACCCGCAGCCATGTCCTCCTCCCCAGAGCAAAGCTAGCTTCTCAACCACTCCAAGCCGGCCGCGCTTCACCCATATCCGCCGTGTCTTCAGGACTTGGATCAACGGCCAGGGCTTCACTTTCCGTAAACACAGGCCCGGCGGCACCAATTATCTCCAGAGTGTCGCGGATGAAGAGCGGAATGTCGACCGCCCTTTCCCCCTCAACCCCCATTTCAAAAGCCAGCCCGTCTTAGATGACCGAGCGAGGGAGTTGATCTGGGCGAAGGTGATGCGGGAGGGCCAGACCATCAAAGCCGTCTCTGCCGAACTAGGCGTCGATATTAGAAGAGTAGCTGCTGTTGTGAGGTTAAAGGAAGTCGAGAAGGACTGGAAAGCCAAGGTTAGTCGTCTCTTGCATTTTTTTTCTTCTTATTATTCAAATCCCTCCGGCGTTTTGTATGATGATTATCAACATTACCCAATTCGATAAGTCTTTAAGACAACTACATGGTTACAAACTTTTGTTGCGAGCCTCTCTGATAACAGTCGCCTCTCACATTTCTAACACTTGAAATTTCTTCTCTTAAGAGTGCCCGTTGTTAACATGCTGCAACGACAGGGGAAGCGGTTGGCAAAACCATATGCGAGAGCTGTGCTAGGTATGTTGCCTACGCACACGTTCAACCCCAACCAACGGAACGAGCCGTTCGAGCCCATTAACGAGCTGCACGTACATCCGTACACCACAAAGCAGATCTTCTGGCCGACGTCCGAATCGCGTCACTTCACACGTGTCGACGCGGCTAAGGCCTTCCACCCGAAGCTGCTGTCGGCAGATCGGCGTGTTCCCCACCCGGAATTAATTCAGATGGAGAAGGATGTGCTGCAGGGTCGGCCACTGTGGGACGCCTCGGAAAGGTTCAAACATGCCACGATGGAATCGGAAAGGAAGCTTGCCGACAAAGAGCTTGCAAGGGCTACTCTAGAGGAGAAATACACTACCCGAGTACGCTCGAATCGCTTCGAGTTCCGCTTCAAGCAGATCAATTCGGAGAACGTGGGCGCTAAGGGCAGGGCGCGGAACGCTGTCGGCTGGAGATACGGTGCGCCGTACTACGACCGCGCCAAGGGCGAAATCAAGATTCCTACATCAGTGCCTTGATCTAGTATTAGGAAACAATTCCCTTCAACTTATTGTTGCGCCAGGGTCCTATACCTACGACGGTGCCTTCGGGATTACTGCGGCTATGTTAATCAGCTTATCTGAGCAGAGCGTCAGACAGTATAATGGATGAATGTTTGTACGAGAATTGTATGAATAGCTAAGTCGTAAGACGCATGGAGTGGGTTGGACGTCTTGAGGGTCCCTGAACGTCTATCTATGAAGAGCAGGCCAGATTCAGCATCCAGCTTTCTGTATACATATTACTCGAGACTTGCATATACCCACCGACTCATAACAATAGTTTGGCATGGTCCTGCCATGACAGTACTCCTTTCTCGTCCACATCGACAATTAGGTTGCTTTGTAGCTGCCTGATCCCGTCAAGCGATAGTAGTCCCAGGTCAACGACGCACTTTTCGACTGATCCATAAGTATTGCGGATCTTGGCCAATGTGCCCAGCATTGCCTCTTTTCTATAGTTCCACAAGTCAGCCTCCCAATACGCAAGTATATCACAAGACAAGAGCTAAGTAATAAAGAGTAAAAACGTCGATAGGAAATCGGTGAAAGGGAGGCAGTGAGGACCCAACGAGACGGGCTGGGTAGTTTAATATACGAAGCAGGGGTAGGACATACTGGGATGAAACCATCCTCCTAGCAGCTTCTGGGTGATCCCGTAGCGTCGGGTTGCTCATCAGATGCGAAATGAGCTCCTCGTGACGCGACTTGAGCCCCAAGTCCGTCAAGCTATACTCATGCGCTACAACCTCATCGGGCACACCGCATAAGCTCAAGATCAGCCCGCAGATCACTCCGGTACGATCTTTACCGGCTGTGCAGTGGATGAGGCAGGGTGTCGGCGGGGAGGACGGAGGTGAAGCCAGATGCTCTAGTATCGTCTTGAATGGCGCGTAACTATTACTTGGCGAGGCCGCCGCAACGAGTATATCGCTATACGCGACTATAAAACCCTAGTCAAGAAATGTTAGTCTAGGTGCATACGCAGGTTGAGCTGTCAGCCTCTTGGAACAGCTTGGACTAGTGACTTGGTAACACGCAAGCACAAGGTAGCCTACTTCGAGGGAGTGGTGAACGGAGTACGACGAGGCGAGCGTAACTGCCGAACGGACCCCATTTACTTATCACCGCTCTTCAACCTTGGCCCAAAATGAGGCCAGCCCCCAAAATACGAATAAATGAAACACAAGCAAATGCAACTCTATATTCCCTCAGCCTCAATATTCTAATCATCCGCTTGTTTGATCCTAATATTCGGACCGAACTGGAAGGGATAGGCAAAAGTCCAGCAACGTAGAAAGCCAGCCTGCGTCGTTCCAACATGGGTCTTGTCCGCGGTTCTTTAGCGCGTTACGCGCGTGATTGCAACACGTACCTCTGCATGCTCTGAAGAATAGTTCTTGTACCTAACGGCTAATGCTTCCGGCGAGTAGTCCTGATCTAAAAAGACGGGAACGAAATGGCGGCTCGCACCGTCCCACTCCTTGATCTTCCAGCCGTAACCGTCGCGCAAGCCTTTCTCGATCTCTACTGCCGAACGCAGGTCAAACACCTTCGCAATACCTAGATCCTGCAATTTCGACACCCCGTCGTCGGTGACCTTGGACGGCTCCGAGGAACGGAAGACTAAGCCGCGGCGCACGACCTTGGAGTCACCCACTGGATAACCTCCGAGGTCGCGGAAATTGGGCAGTCCAGAAATTGGCACAAAGGGCGGACTGGGAAGTTCGGGTTCCGCCATTTTCCTTTTCTTTTTTCTTTTTCTTTTTGTACGAGGTTGACCAGGGGACCTTGAAAATGGGTGCCCTTTAGGTTAGTTTCTTACTCCGCATGAGGCTGGCCTGAGAGCCTTAGATAGGTAGGTAAGTATACAATAGAGTGTGGACGTAAGCTGTCGGAGGATATCCGGAGCAACGATTTTCATACATAAAAGAAACAAATCTAGGGATGAGACGCCACATGCTGTAGTAAACGACAGATCCAGCCAATAAGATACCGAGTGCTTGGATCAAGTCTCAATTGGTTGGTCAATTGGTTGGCCAAGGACAAGCCCCCTCTATACTACCTTGTCTGTATAAGTCAGATTCCACGATAAGTGGCTCATTGGGCCCTGTGAGTTGTCAATGGGAGAATGCTGGTATAACCAACACAGCAGCAGGATGGATAAATCCATTTTCCCAATTTTCGGTGTATAGAAATCATATTCCAAATTGTAGAAAACGGTGAAAGATGACCTCGGGAACGGGAACGGAGAGAAGCAAGAGAGGAAAAGGAGGGGCTGTTAGGTAGCGCAGTATGTACATAGTAGGTATAACAAGTCTCAATCTGTGAAACGTACATGTAGATTATATGTGCAAACAGTATATAAACAGTACATGTATTATATAGAATATACATACAATCTACATTAAGTATACATACTAACAGCGTGTAATCCGTAACCTTGGCACAATACTTTTTTAGTCAGCCATGTCTTATCTGCATAGGTAATCCATGATTATGTATTACCTACTCAAACCAGCTGCAACGCATAAGCCAATTATGTACGCCATATGGAATGCGCCATATGATATACATGACTAGCCATTAGGTAATCACATTCAGGACCCTGAAGATAATTTTGTACGGAACCGATTACTTTCATCGTTTTCTCATGTGACGAGTTACATAGCGATCTCCACACAGAGCCTCAAAATGTGGGGATATACCAACACGTAATCCCATATCCCCTGTTTCCCAAGTCACAGCCCAGCATCAACTACACATCTCTTAACACAACAACCCAGTACGTGCAGCTTCTTCCAGACCTATCAAGTGCCGGGCATTTCTCAACCGCAACCGAATTGGGAAACCGAAGATAGGCAACAATGCATCGATGATGTGTCTCGGAACCTCAATTGGGCCTAGCCGAGAGTTACGGCATGCCGTTAATAAACGCCCGGCTGCATCCTTACTCAGCTTGCAAGTTGCGAGGATTAGCTTGGGCGGTATATCGAGGGTGGAAATGAAAAAAGGGGGGGGGGGGCCGAAGTTGTATAGCAGACTGTAGTAACATTTATTCCCACCGTTATTCCCAGTACATATGTATGAACACTTATGGCTGACGGGTCCGCCCTAGCTCTTTCTTCTTCCTGTCAGGTCGCATATAGACGGCCCAAAAGGCACCTAGCTGCCTAGTCATTGGAGTTGGAAGCCTTGATATTGCCTCGACTTTGACGTGAGCTATAGGAGCCAAGACCCGTTCAAGGCTGTGTTTACTAATTGCCGGCGGCGGCACCCACTCCTGACAAGGGTTTGGCGTAAGGCTGGTTACCAATTAGCGCTATTAAATGCCTAGATTTTTCGGTATAGCTTTAGTGTTACTTCCCGTAAGCAGGCCGTAGTTTCAGTGGGCGTGGCCGTAATAAGTGACATACATATACATAGGTACCTAGTCAGTCATTCCTGTCCTCTCAGTTAATATAGGGGTAGGTACCAGGGTATGTACAAGGACGGCCAGTTTCGGAAAGTCACTCTTCCAACAACGGCTTTTTAGGTGTTATCAGCCGCATGTCACCTATCGTGTCACCATCTGTATCACCATTTATAGTGTTTTAACCGTGAGGATTTTCTATTTTCTATCAGTCTATCAGTCTATCAGTAATACATAATAAAGTCTGAGTCCGTGCCGCTTTTGCGTTCCCCGACATGAAGGTAAATATCCCATGTAAGTCATAACCGGCGCGAGCTTTCATCTACATTGATTCCGTCCAACCCATAAGTGAGAGACAAATGATATCCGAACTTTTGGAACTTTTAAAGACCGTGTGACCTCCGCTAGTCGGAAAAGGAAAGTATGTTTGGTTCGGAGCCTCCCGAAAAAAGAAAGGGGGAAAAACTCTCCGCTTGGTATGAATGCTTGCTATGCTTGATGCCTAGCCTAAGTATTTATTTCGGTTTCCAGGTATTGCAGCTGCTGCACCTTTCATGCCCACATTCAACGCAAGCACTATTGTAGATGCATGAGTTGTTACCACCAGCGGCACAGTTGCACTCCGGGTACGTTAGTTACAGACTAGGAATAGTAAAGGGTCAAGTAACTTACACATTTCCAGCGATGTTCTGCCGAGGCCGACGACGTCAGCACCGGTGATGATTCGCGAGAGAAATAATCAACGGTGATATTATCGGTATAATTTCCCTCGATGCTGTTGGAATAAGCAATCTGCTTGCAGTGAGAGTGGAATGGAGACATGATGTATATTGTGGACTGAATGAAATTCAGTGTAAGCTCGTAGAGTATATTTGATAAAACTGAACTGTTTGCTGTGAATCCGAAACTGTGAGCTTTCGTAGACAAGTGATGGTGATAATCCAGGCATCCAGAAGGGGGATTTGTATAGACTTTATATCCCATTTTGAACACTCACAGCCCAGTATCGTAATCAAGTAGACACAGGGATGAACTCAGGCAAGCTTGTAGGCTCGGAATGTAAGCGTCGTATGATTAGGACTCGGTCAGGGAAGAGGATACGCCTATCGAAACCCTACATCTAAGTGGTTAGGCACGAGGTTGGCGAAGCTAACAGGCTTCCCAGTCAACATCATCGCCATTTTGATTAAGTAACTCGAACTTCCGCATGTGACGCATTTCCCAACGAGAAACCTAGATAGATTCGGTATGACGAGTTCCACTTCCTTGCACCCTTCTCGGTGGGATATAGGATGTTGATTGACGCATCTAATCCTCAATATTGATTGCGGATAACGCTTTGAGGAGACCGGCGATTCTTTGACAAGCTTTCCCACAGCCACTATACAGTTTTCGGTAACCGCTTCGCGATTATATTGGCTCCCGCTTGCTCGGTAGCCTGTCATTCAGGCGACAAGGACCCAACAACTGTACAAGAGTCTCATTGCATAGCCATGAGGCCCGCCAGTCGTAGGGCTGATTCTCCATGCACCACCAATCCCTCTTGGACCCGTGAGTTGCGCCAGTAGACCTGTCATCTGTACGACCGCCATTATAACGTGCCGCCTACCGAAATTAGGAAGCAGCTGAACTAGGCGCATACGCCTCAGGCGGTCTGAAACCGGCGTTGGCATCGACGGGAACGAACAAGCGGCCCGCGCATACGAGGCGGGGGTGGCCTCGAGGTTTCTCGAGAAGAAAAGAGGGAAAAAAAAGAAAATTTCATCTTCAGATATATGATGTAAGCGAAGGAATCCAACGGTGTAACTGCACAGCTGAGTTTCATACTCGGATATGATAAACAACCGCGTACACCCTGACTAACCCCAGAACTCAGCCAACGTCTTCAGCATCCTACGACGACTCCAAGAGTCGAACGTAGACCTCATCACTTATATACCCCAAATTGTTAAGTCCTAAGCTTTGCTATATTTGGTGAAATCAACAGAGGTGGTTTGTTCATCATGCGGCTCTCCAAAAAAAACATGTCGTGAGACTTAGACGTGCAATAATTAGAGGGGTATCAGGGCTGAGGTTGCCTCTCATTGGACGTGGGTTGATTGGGAGAGAAAACCCACATTGCCCGACTATCTTAGATACAAGAGATATCTCCTTCGGAAATCTCGATCAAGAAGCCTCGAAGATCTATGAAGGAGAGTTCGTAGCTGACAGGCTCTTGGAATGGCCCCGTAAAGTGACTCGTCAAGTTTGGTTTAACCCCCACGTTTTCAGCAGTAAAGATTATTGCATATCTGATTGCTGCTGATGGTAACTCTTGAGGCTATTGAATGCGAACCCGAACATATGTCGCTACTGGTAACAGGCCTCCGAGCACATATAGCCTCGATCCTACCGAGCTGTCGGTATCAACTAGTCTTTATCAGAAGTCTTGTCAAACAGGTAGCCTAGTAGGTTAGTTAGTTATAATATTCGCTTTAATTTGCTTTAACCGGTAGTCACTTAACCTAGGTAGTTAGTGTAATCGCTAAAGAACTCATCAAACCATTTAAAAGCAAAAGTATCCCGGTTTAACTACTTCCTATTAAGAGGTCACTATGGATTAAGCATCTAACTTGTTACAATATAGTGTTATTAGAAATGCTTTTTCGAAAGTCTTTAACTACCTACTTATACGAATCTAAGTAAAGCACTTACACGATAAATAGCTGAAAGTCCGATAGGCTGCCTCTAGTTTTAGTTCACCAATAGCAGCCAACTAGCCTCTCTTGGCACGCCCAAAGGAGATAGATGTGTGGTCTGAATTAGGCAATCTACAAAGATTAGGTACATACCGCATCCACTAAGAAACAATTCATTCTAGGGCACGGACCACACGCCTCAACCATACCATATCTAGCAATGATTTGACCATATCCTGGTGTGGGGTGCTTTAGCGAATATCGCAAGTAACCGGATATAGTTTAGGTCAGTCCAAATATAGTGTAGTTGAAGTCCGTGGTCCGTGCCCTAGAATGAATTGTTTCTCAGTGGATGCGGTATGTCGGAGTCTGGGGGCTAGACACATTTGGAAGCACAGACGCATGGTTCGTCATAGTTCGTCATCGTTTATCGTTTCTCATTTCTCACAAACAAGGATAAGAGTATTCGCCTAAACACTCAAACGGCCTCCAGCTTCTCACTTCTATCCTTTAGCATCAATCATCTTTAGCTTTAAGTCTTGGTGTTTTTCCGCAGCCATTCTTTTGCGCGTGCTCGCTATATAGTGCGCAGCATTATATTGTTATTAAACCCCGCGGCGATTTAGCATTAGCTACTCGACATCGCAACTGACATTCTTTCTTCATTGCGCCGAGCATTGCGACTATGGGTATCTTGGGTATGACAGCGAGCTACTTGCTCTTCTCTGTCCTTCATTTTGCCCAGTTTGTGCTTGCCGTTACCGTTTGTGGATTATACGGCGTTGATCTTTCGCGCGCGCGTTCCCAGGGCAAATATATCGATGGAAAATGGGTATGCCAAATTCCCCCCCGCCACGATAAGCTGATGTTGGCGTCTTTGCTTAGAAGTGGGAAAGGCTGACAAAAGTACTATTGATAGGTCTACGCTGAAGTTGTGGGAGTTCTTGCCGCACTGGCGGCTATCCTCTACTTCATACCTTTTATCCTACGATTCGCTGCAGTTACGGTATGGAACTCTATCATGTTCATCTTGTGGATAGCGCTCTTCGGTCTGTTTGGCGGCATGTATATCCATGAGAACCCCGAAGGCAATGGCGACATCCAGAGAATGAAGAACGCCGTATGGGTCGACTTGGCGAACGCACTGCTCTGGCTTATTGGATTTGTTGCGAGTGCCACTTATTGGTGGACTCACCGCGAGAGGCGAAGCCGCTTTACGGGCCGTGCTCAGCTGGGCCGGAATGCGTCGGTTCGGTCTTCTGGCTGGGCGGCATAGTTATATCATATACGGCTATCATATAATCTCGAAGATCTGATAATTTTGGGGCTGATCTTGGTGGGGAAGCTCAGGGTATGTGTAATTACGATGATGAAAACAATGATGAAAACGATAAGGGACAGCTTGGCGTTGAGAGAGGTTCGAATACCCAAAAGCAAGACTTGTATTTCTAAATAGTTCGACATGGATGTAAAGTGACATAATCAAGAGTTGGAGTCGTTATATATATTCGAGGCTCTGCGAAGTCAGTCTTTGCCACGTTGCATTCTTGGTCTGCAGCTCATCCGACTCTGCATAAACCATCAATAAGAATGAAATTGCTTGTTTCTCAAAGTGCCGCCTAGAACATGACGTCTATTGCAACGAAGTCCAAAGAACCTGTCATTATCTACTTCAGTTATAGGCCTTAACCTACACCAACCTAGGTACCTATACCCACCGTAAACCTCCGGTGCCTCGAAACCACATGTCATACGTATATGCAGATGAAGATGTATGAGAGGAGTCCGGGCTTTATGCAGCCTTACTAATCCAAACCCGCCGAGCTGCGGCTATATGTGTGCTTATTTCGAAGAAGAAGAAGAAAAGATATGCAGTTAGATGAGTGGCTTTCCAAAGCGACTGCGTATATGCAATGCAATGTATTAATCAATATTTTACCTCTTATCGTAGCCTATACGGATCTCTTACCACACATATGTTTTACTGGCTGGCAGTGGAAAGGTTAAAGCCCCTTTCACATGCCGCTATGGATCACAAGAAAACTTGATGAACTATCTGTTGTTTCCTTAGGCCTTAATATCGTCACGTTGGTTTTACGTGTGCCTGTTTTGCGATTTTTGGTAGGATGTCAAGTGGATAAATGCTACTTGAGAATCCCGAGATATGCGCCAAGGGACCACCACCTACGTCATATCCTATCAACTCTGCTATAGAACTCTGTCTCTCCCTCTCGTTTGTTCAACGTCAGGGGGAAACGGGGTCTTTCCCCTGTCTTTGCCAAACCCCCTACTTTATAACAATTACAATTAGAATATATTCAACACTGATATTAATGATGTTCTGCTTATTAGGACGCTATCGCTGATCCTTCAAAAACTTTTTACCGGATCCCCCTGTCAATATTGATAACCCCCGAGTCAAAGTTGGGACCCCTTTAGAACCGCACTTGGCGCATTTAAATATCCTGCTACCTACTATGTAAAAAATTCGGGACAAGGGACGGACGTTGTGCACCTTATTAGTCGAAGATCTTCGTCACATAGACGTGCGATGAGGAATTATGCAGATACGTAATGGCCATTATGAACTGAGAGAACACATAATTTCGACCATTCGGAGCAAAGAGCCGAGGGAGCGTTGAATGCGAGGCTAGAGTTTGAGATTGATAATGACGGCGTATAGTACGTACCCTACACGTGTGAGAGGAGAGTCGACGCGGAGAAGACCCAGACAGAGCAAGGTTAGTCGCTCAACGTAGTCTATGTACATAGACCCCGGGCAACGATGGGAACCATGCTTTCCCCCCCTAAGCATCGATCTACTAGTAGATCGGCGGGGACTTACCTCTTTCCGACATCGTCTGGTGCCTGTCGCTGACAGGCTTAGGCGCGTCATTTTCAGCTTCGTAAAAAAAAAAAGTTGCGAAGTGTTGCGAGATGTTACTAGACCGTTAGAATAATGTGTTCTTTGACTCTCCTCCTTGATAGGAGGTTGCAAGAAGCCGCCGCACACACGTACACTTTTAATGGGCTCGTCATGGCCACATATTGAATTGTGCACAGCTGTAAATCTCAGACCCAACGCAGACGCTGGATGATCTCATAAGGGGACCTGGTTTAAGCTGTTGGGTACCCGTCTAGAATTTAACTCGTGGCGATAATCTAAGACAGAGGCGTCAGCGGTAAAATTCGCAAGCGCTATTTTTGGATATTCTAGTTACTCATATTGTGATCGCATTCCACCTTTCGGAACTATAAATTTCCCTTAATAAATAGGGACATAATGTCCTAACCTAGTAGAATACTCTCGCGTATTATGCACAAGGCGTGTATCATAGGCTAAGGTCTTGTGGGACTGTGCCTACGCTAGAGTTCCTAGTGTTTAGAAGCTGTGAGTATTTGGGTACCTAACGCTGCTTAGGTATGAGAACGGAGGCAACTTGATGTGCAATACGGAAATGTTGATCACTGTACGCTGGGTAGCAACACACCTAGACCGTTAGAACACCCTACTTTCCAAGTCACCGGGGTTTGCGGCAAACTGCGAGTTCGGGGACCGGTCATGTTTTGTCGCAGGCGGGCTATGGCATAAAATCGATGGGGTAGTAAAGAAGACATGGTGAAGATGGAGGAGACTTGGGCGGGTTTTGCTCCTCGACATCTTACATGCTGACCGATATGAAGCCTCCCCGGCCGGTATAGAATAATCGGAAGATGCAATCGGCCGAGCGTGTGAGGGCGAGCTAGAGAGGTTAGTCTAGAGGGTTAGGTAGGTAGTTTGGAGGGTACCTACACTGCTACAGGCCGAGATCAAGGTATGATTGATGTGGGTGGGATGCGTTAATGGTTGGCAGGGCTCGTACGATGCGGCCCTCATCTAGAGGTTGGATGATCGTCAAGAATTACCCATTACGTATAAGGATACATTAATGCTAGCCCAACCTGTCGGCATATTGTTGACATGTTGGTAAAATCGTATCGAGGAATCGTGAGGAGAGAGTAGCCGATCGTAGACAATGCTGTAAATCTTACTAGTTTTTTTTTTCTTTTCCCTTTTGCGCCAAATGTTGCAGTGAGCGGAAATGACACTTTGATAGGGCTACCCAATGAGCAAAGGGTACCTATCACATACACTACAACTCTACCCCGGTACAAAACTGTCAGTTTCGAGGTACCTACTGTATGTACTTCCAAGTTTCCTTCTTTATGAGGTGGAGTAGAGTCTACCTGCCCCTATACAAGTCTAGTATGATGTTAGGTAGGTACTTACATGTAACAGGTCGAAGGATCCCTACACGTACGAAATAATTCTAAGCTTTACATGCGCAATATTAGTGCCTAACTACATACTAAATATTGTATTATCTAACTAAGATATCTTCTCATTCGGGTTTTAAGACGGAAAATACCTTTATAAATTCTCGCAGACCTTAGGTATCTAGGCAAGTGCGATAATGTATATATAGGTACACATATATGTGCGTATCGACGTGCTTACCTTTTTCTGTTTGATTTGATGCCTACATGCAACTTCTTACCAATTACAACCATCCATTATCAATGCCTTTTTGAATCCTAAGTGCTCTATTCCTTGAAGAGTTCCCGTACCTAACGCCACATTACCGTGTTTGGTAGCAATCATCTTTAAAGGTATTGCAGATATTACTGCAGTACTAGAGCTTATTCCTTCGGATGGCTGTACGGCGGACTAAGAGATTAGAGTCGTCATCTTATCAGAAGAAATGTTAGTTAATTCCGACTTGCCGAACATCTATCGCGATCGGCTTTAAGTATACGATATAAAGTACTTCCAACAATCTCATCAGGGGGGTTGGGGTTTCCGTTTGAAAGGTGTGTGTTTGGGTGTACTTTACCACACACACTCGCTCACACTCACTATCACGTTTACTTAGCATCTCCACCAATGCTTAAACACCTGTTCTCTTTTGAACAACAATAATTTCGAGCGACCAAGAATATTTACATCATATGCCAAGGGCAACCGTCTCCCCCTCGGGTCAAAGGTAGACAGTTAGACATAACGAGCGGGGGGAAGCGGGTCTCTTCACATATCCATCCATCTATTCATCTATCCGTCCCTCCATCTACCTATTTCACCTGTCAATTAATCCATGAATCCATGGTCAAATTGCGAGTGGAGACGCCGGGTACTTTAGACACACCTACTCATTGCGCACCATACTACATACTACATACTACGCACTACGCACTACGCACTATTCAGCCCGCCACGGGCCGGGACGGCGATCTTCTTTCGAAACTAAATCACGATTTGATAACAGATCGTACTCCAATTTACCTATAGTTTACCTATAGAAGTGCGAGGTATCAACCCTCACGTTGGACATAAACCCACCGACGTTTCTTGCCAAGGTAAGACACTTGACAAAACCCCATACTTCTTCGATCTATTGCATTGTCATGTTTGCTTGGTATTTGATCAAGCGCCGCACCGAATCGAACCGTCGCTTGTTGGGTAGCACGACTTTTGCATTATTTCAAAACGTGAAGCACGTCGTCATATGAGAGGAAGAGGATAAATCCCTGAGGAGCACCATTGGTATAAACGACAAGTGAGAGCCTCCACCGGTCCATTCGACATATAAGGTTATTCGAACGGCAGGCTCCAGTCTCAACAAATCCAACATACTCTTCGGCTTACCTATCTCATATCTACTTGCTAGTGACTGGCTAAGGACCAAGGACCGTGCGACGTCTAGTCCTAAACACACCAACCGACTTCCGAAAAGCCGTACTGACTGAGAGTCCTGTGGTCCATTAGGTTTCCCGATCTCTACGTTTATTTGGGGTTTAGCTGCAAGGGCATATTAGTGAGCTGCGGCTTAGAGGTACTGACGATAACATGGCAGGCTTCAGCCGTTCATTCAAGCCATCTTCATACCTGTCTTCTATGAAAAGACGACCGCCTCCACCTTCGAGAAACATGTCAAGTTCATCCGAAGCGTCACCTCTCTCATCACCCGATATCCGGCAAGACGATATTATCTTCTCTACGAGACCTTCGCCAAAACTGTCGATGGATAATCCATCGCACAAACAACCCGAATCTTCTCCGAATCTTAGACCTATTGGCGGTATGTTTATATATTCATAATTCTTGTTGGCGAGCGATGATCTTTTCCCAAGAAAATGGGTCGTCTACTATACTATGTAGATATACACGGGTTGTGTTTGCTTTGTTTTCTAATCCGGAATGCCGGTCTGCGGCCTGCGGCCTGCGGTGAAGATTGCCGTTTTTCAACGTGTGACTGCGGGCGGCAGACGGTGGTTGGATGGCTCAGCAAGCCACTAACGCCCCTACAATGCTCCAATACTCCTCCAATACTCCTCCAACTCCTCTCCACTATCAACCCCTAAGGCGGGGGTGCATTTTCAAGGATACCTTAGGTACCCTTTTTCTTTAGCCTCTTAGGTTAGCTAGGTGCTTTTTGGGTCCCGCAGTCCCTCTTCCACTTGTCTTTGAGTCTTTGGTTCCACGCTTGCTTTTGTTAAACTGCGTCATACTTGGACCGTTGTTAAATAAATCTCCTAACTGATTCAGGGAAAAAAGATCCGGTCCTTTTCGACGCTCCTAGATCAACGCCTGCTCGAGCCAAACCGATTGCAATCGAGTTGCCCACTGTAAAGAAGGTTAATAGTGCTCCTGTTTACACTCCACCTGCACCTCTTTCAGCTCGCGGCGATCTTCCTGGGTAAGTTTCTTGAGTCAGATATGGATGCGCTAGCAGTTTAACAACCGTTGCTAATAATCTTCGCCTGGTAATAGTGGTTATTTTCCCTTACATGAAGAACAAGCCCGTATTTATCGTCCTCACCCGTTTCAGCTTGATGCTTCCCAGGCCCGTATGAAATCTATCGAACGTGCGAGCCAGTACGACTTCCCTGGCCCTGAGAAAACCACTTCCGCTAAAGCATCGACGGGAGCTATCCCTTCTACTACGGCCCCCATAACTATGTCAGAACGATCCACGAAGCTTGCGCCACCAAATGCCTCAAGCATGCCAGAACCTAGTTTCAATTCCAGGTCTAACACTCCCGTTGCTAGCTACATGCCGACTGGCACACAGGACAGCCCTCTACCAATGGGCAAGTATTATCCTTCCAACTATGTGAAGAGGAAAGAAGAAAAGCGAAGCCGACAGACCCGCCCACCGACGTCGACCCCGTCGCCTCCGATGGGATCCAAGTCGGAATCACTTGTATCTACTACCAGAGACTCTTCTGCGTTGGGTCATTCTCGGAATGAGTCCGACGCGAAACGTAGATTGCAGCAGTACCAACGCGATATGATTGCTCAAGCAACGCTGGCTCTTAACGGTGGAAATGTCAACGCGGCAGCGCTAAGTTCGTTGAGGACGATCGGGTTTACAACCATGCCCGGGCCGGGCAAGCCAAGACTGGCCCCTTTGGGATCTCCTGGACCTGTGACACCTATGGAACTCGAAAATGCTCAAGATGGTTATTTAGGAGCACGAGGCGCTGCAGATATCCAAGTAGAAGAGATCGCACGGGCTATAAGAGCCGAAGAGGAACGCAAACGACGAGAGGGTACGACATCACCCACCGTTGAGCTAGGACCTAGCACATTCTAAGCCCCCCCGGCCGCCTTTGCGTATGATAAACAGCATACGTCGCTGTTACTAGATTTATCGGGATGGGATGTTGTGATTAATCTGCCGTATCGTCGTTTCCTCTGCCGCTGGATCATCGGTGCTTTGAGCAGATTCCTGGCCGCAGAGGCCGTTCCAACAGCCCGAATCTAGGTTTACCGCACCTAAGAATGGGGGATGGGAGGTCTCCTGCTTGAGTATCAACGATACCATTCTTTCAGTTCCGAGTTTAGGAGTTGCATTGCGCGGTCTGGATCTATTTATCACGGCATTTTCACCTGTTTGACTGCCATCACGACCTCTGGCCCAAGCACACGTAACGGCGCCTCGAGCCGCGATGTTTCATTTGTCTCGTTTATGATACCCGATATCCTCAACAAAGACTGGATGATACAGCAACAGCTGTTACTACACTTGCATGCATGGATTCAACAGGCGTAGGGAAATGGCAAATAGGTTGTTAATCGCGCGGCAGTCTAACATCCGCTATCGTTTTTTAATCCATTTGGTTTGATTTGCCCCGGCCTCTATTGTAGACTTACTTTCATTCTTGCTCTACTCGCTAAGAGGCAGCTCCCGCGTGGGCAATCCGTTCGTGTTGTTATTTGTTTGATATTGGAAATGGGCTGGTTTGTGCTTTTGCTGGGTTTCGGACATGGAAAATGAAGATATTTATCTATTTGATGGGGAGGAGTAGGTGTGACTGAGTGACTGACTCTGGGTTGAGTGCTAGGCTAGGTTAGGCTAGGTTGACGGACGTAAATACCTAAAACCAAGCAGACCGAATGCACATATTTTTTTTTGAAGCATCAATACTTCATCATATCATATTCCGACCTCACGTCATTATTCGCAGTGAAGACTAAAAGAAGTGCTAGGTATTGTATTGACTTGAGCCCCAATTTTTGCTTTTTGCTTTTTTCCCTTTATAAATACCCAAGGTACTTAATGCATATCCCATTATAAAGGGAACGTGAATATTTTCCTATTCCATTATCCATCCATCTACTCATCCACCTACTCATCCGCCCACTCATCCGCCCAGTCTGATTCGTTTATCTAGACATGACTGAAAGAGCAAATAGAAGGAACTTCCCCTTTCGACCACTATTATTGAAACGAAGCAATACTTATTAAATATATATAACACCGCATGTTCCGGATACCTGTGTTTTATTCCGGATTTCTAATTACCTACCTACCTGACCTAACATGGCTGGGATCTGCTCTAGACGCGTTATCTGCTAAGCTGCCTTACAGTAATTTGCCGGGAAGCTGCCTCGAACGCCGTCTAGTTCGCCTGTCCACCAGTCCTGATCCGTGCCCGTCTTCTTGACGATTTTTATCCTGTCGCCTTCGTGGAAGGACAGGTCGCCTGCGCTCTGCCCAACGAAATCATACTGGGCGATTACGAACTCCTCTAGCCGGGTTGCGCCTATCTTCTTCGGCGGTGGGGGCGGGGGAGGTTTCTTCTTGACGGCGATGGCGGCTGCGCTAGCGGCTGCGTTGAACGACGTCCTGGATGCATTCGTGGGCGTCGGGGAAGGGCGTGCGAAATAATCTGCTCGTGGTTGAGTGGAACCAGGTGATATCGCTGGTGTTAGTCCCTGGCCGAGTCGAGATGCTGTGGTAAAGTCTGTAGGCGTGAGATGGTTGCCGATAGTAAACGACGGCTTCGGCTTTGGCTGTAATGTGTTACTTCCTTGGGATGACGCTATCGAGGCTGACGAAGGGATTCGTTTTGGCCGTGGGCCAGCTGGGGGTGGTGCGGAGTTACTGGAGCCGATGAGTCCAGATGGCGAACGGTGAAAGCCGTTCTCCGCGGTAGAGGAAGTCGCGGACGAAGTGGATGTTTTGCGATCGTTATTATCATTGTTGATGTTGCTTGGATCGTCTGGAAGTTTCATAGGCTGTCGGACGGCCTTACCCGTCGCGATGCACGTTATGGATTCGACTTCGCGTTTGACGGGCTCATAAGCAGCCGACCACATGGATATGACACTTTCCATGGGCGGTGGTGGCGATGGAAAGTCATAGTCTTGACAGTAGTTGTGGAGCGTGGTATAGTACAGGCCGAGCAGTCTATTCTGAATTACAACTACTCCTGCTATGAGCGGCGGTATTATACTGAAAGTCGCGGCCACGAGAGGCGGTAATGTTTCTCTTAGATGTGAGTCCGCAATCTCGAATTCCTATGAGGCTCGTTAGCTTTTATTAACTATCTTATTTCGCATCATATTAAAATCTGTACCTCAGCTGTTCGCGCAACTTCGGCTTCGGCCTTGGCTAGAGCAGCATCTTCCTTGGGAGTTCGAGAGACCTTCCTCTGCAATTTGTTGACCTTGTCTTGACACTTTTCGTAATCTAACCTTTTGTTTTCCCGCTTCTTAATGGTCTTCCTTAAAGGAGCAATGCAGTCGCGGGCGTCGGTAGCGGGCTTAATTATTGTTGATTCAATGAGACCTACTTCCTCCAGTACTTCTGCCTTAAGCTCAGTATAAGCCTGCTTCAACCTTAGGGTACGTTCGAGCTGGAGATCCGGAGTCGGCACAGCTGTTGTTCCATGACCATCGGTAGCACCAACTATTGGATCCCAGAGGCCGTCGTACTCGGTGACTATGCCTAGTTGCGCCATGGCTAAGCTGACCCAGGATTCGTGCCATGATTTGGTGTGGTCAATGATCTGGAAACATAAACTATTAGTATGTGGGAGGTCAGATTGTGGCTGACTGGGAATGACAATTATCTTGTAGCTTATTATACCTTAGCAAGAACTCTGTCGGCATCCTCATAGTCGTTTAATAAAACAGCGACTCGGGCATTATCTCCAGGGCTCTTGTGGAGTAATTTCCCGAACTGCCTCTGCATAGATTGCATGGTGGCTTGTTTGTTGAGCTCGCCACGTTATCAATTCTGTATCTAACTGCTTATCCTTGAAGGGAAACTTGTTGTGGGGGGGATTATGAACAATTAATTAGCACGCGGGGTTCGTAGCTTTGAAATATTGCATGACGAAGGGTCCTGCACGCTTAAGTCTGTATCTGGAAAGGACGAAGGGACGAAGTGAAGACATTCGCCGACAAAAGGGTGAGGAGTGAGTAAGAAACGACAACAGTTAAAAAACAGAGGCTGTCGTGTGAAGTGAAGTAAATGAAATAAGTAGGTCTAGCAGCGTTGTTCTTTCGTGTCGGAAGATGGAAGCAGGGGCGGAAATGCAGGCAGAAACAAGGGGCTGAGAGAAGAGGCGTAGAAATAATTATATGTACATGCGTTTAGACATGCATTTAGGTAATAAGGTAATGTATAGTGAGAGGAACGGCTGCCGCTTTACCGCTTTACCAAGCTGCCGGAACTTTACACAAGTCACTTCTGTCTGTAACTTCCAATTGACGAATTGACGAAGGTTAAAGAGCATGGTATAAGATAGACTAGGAAGTTACGATTGAGAAGAGAAACATGAAGGCTATTATGAAAGTACCCTTCAACCCAATTTATTAAGGCTAGGTACTTTGTAAGTATTATGAGAAGCTTTTCGGCTATACATAAAAGTAGGAGCTGGTCCTTGGTAGTATGTACATGGAACTTTAGTGGAGGATGATTAGGTAGGATTGCCTCCAGGATGGCCTTGTCCTCATCAATTCCCCCATCTTCTCCTAATTTTCTCGAAACGAACCACGAATAGGTTATCGGTGGGCAGTGCAGCTAGCTAACCTAGCTGCTAACACGAACGCCTCACCGTTCCAAATAAACAGGGTTGCGATAACGATAAGCAGCAAGACGTCACTGTACATACATATGTACATGTAGGTAGGTATACTTGTGGCCACCTGCAATGATTAGAAATCTAAAAATACAACAATGATTCCAGGTTGCTTGTTAGTCTCTACATAAAACAAGTCAGGACAAACTGGGGACGACTTTTTGGTTTAGGTTGTGTGCTGCTGAAGAATTATAAAGCTTCTGGATACATAATACCTACACCGACATCCTCAGTCTTACTTCTAAATACTTGGAGGGCACTGGTATAAATATTTCTATTGTACCTGTGTATGCAGCCCTATATTACATCAAAAACATGACTCAGATGTACTTGCTGCACATTTTAAGCCGGTAAATGTACTGCTCAGCAGCACGTGCTAGCGTGCTGTAGCAGGTTGTGTGGGACGCGACTTCTTAAATGATTTAAATAGGCTGAAAAACACGCTTAAGACACGTTGATAGCGAAAGCGCGTTTTAATCCCCGTTCTAACCTCTCCACACCAACTTTTTGAGCTTAGTAACAGCATTAAGTGACTACATTGAATACTTGGGTTGTCTTTCATTTTCAGGCGCCTGCAAGCTATATATATCTGCAGACTGGATCAATGTCAACACGTATTCATCGATAACCATGGCTACAGCTATGCAAGTTATGCATAGCTCTGCATCTTCAAATCACCAGCAGACACCCGGTAGCACCGCTCCAGTCCTTGAATATGTCTGCCTATTTACGCGCGACCTTCGCAGAAAGCAAAAGCGCTGGCAAGATGGGAGGTTGAAATATCACACATTCAACAAACGTATCATGGTATACGACGAGCGTGGCAACTTTGTAGGGGATACACACTGGCACGAAGATTATGATTTCGACGAAGGGGAAGAAGTTGAACTTGAAAGAGGAGGCACCATTGTTCAGGTCGCTGAATGTACGGGGAGTCGTGATCAAGATATCTCCGAGCTCATAGACAAGAGAGCTCGAGAAAGGGCTGAGCGTCAATCTGCTGCTCTTGCACGACGACCTCCCATAGTTGAGGCCGCTACACCGAATGTTGCTGCCCCTCACTTCCAGCTGCGACATAAGCCTCTCCATAATTTGATCGGTACGCCTACTGGCCACCACGGGCGTGCTCTCGTGCCAACTGAATCGCCATACGAAGAAAGACAGAAACTAGCTGCTTCCGTACAAGAAAACGATGCACGCCCTGCGAAGCGAAGGAAGCGAGAAGTATCTCCTCCAAGCAAGAGCGGTTATGCACAAAGCTTATTTGGCGCTTCATTGACACTATCTGGTACGCCAGCAAGCAGTCCACTATTACGGAGCAGGCCACCGAAGGTGACATCCGTCTCCGCTGACGACCGGCCTTTGTCATCAGCTATTCCCAGCGCCCATGCCGGTGATTCAGGTGCTGAGCCTATACTTATACATGATGCACCTACAAGAATACAAGAAGAAGCACAAGCCAATACTTCTGGACTTGCGCTATCAAGGAAAGTGTATCAAGAGCACCAGTTTGTTTCAACGCGGGATTCTGTTAAGCCGCAGCCCCTGCCGCTTTTCTTAGGCGATAAACCTAACATTAACGATCAATGCGACCCACCTTTTAACAAAAGACAGTCAGGACCAAGGCGAAGGGATCGGACTGGAGGACAGCCCATAGAAATCGACACGTTGCAACCAATATCGGCGAACTTGGGTTTGAAAAGCCACGAAAGCAATAAGCGACACTATGGAGATAGTGCCCTTGGCAATATAGCGCCAGCGGTAGATTTAATCGATAGAGGAACTAAAGGCCCACCCTCTGTATTAGGACCAAAAGAATCAGTTCGGAGCCAGAATCTCACCACAGAGCCGAAGCCTAGGAATAAAGCGGAAGCGGATGACAGTAATAATGAATGCTTAGGGTTGGCCCAGAGACAGCCTATAAGCGAGTCAAGGACAGAATTGCGTATCAAGCCTAGGAAGAAACGGGGCCTAGTAATGGTATCAGAGAAGCTGAATAGTGACAGTTCATCAAAAAGAGCATCTAAGAACCAAATCGATTGCCAATACCCACCTGCTCCACCAAGCGATATCACGAAAGGGTATTCAAATGATGGTATGTTCGACGATGATATAAGTATAGACACCGGTGTTAAAGAGCTCGATCATACCCGACGAATGACACAGAATGCTCCCTTATGCAATCCGTCGCAAGTAAATCCTAAGTCGGCATACAAACAAGGTACCAGAATAAAGAAGGATCGGCGGAAAATACAGAGTGCAAAACACAGTGAAGATGATCCAGCTATTTCGGATTCTGAAATTCAGAGTGAACTTTTTAAGGATATGGGAACGTGTGCTTATTACGATCAAACGAATGACGAGTCATCTAGCTTCAAGCATGAGCATGGTGTTCAAGCCGAAGCAACTAAGCTTTCAAGAAACAGAAGCGGCTCATCTAGGAAGAAAAAGCTTCGGACCAAGGATAACGTAGACTCCCATTCAACAGCAGAAAAAAAGGATACCGAGAAGCAGATTATGACTGACGGAGATGACTTGGGTTTGCCCGACGACGTTCCTGCCCCTCGCCTTGCTCAATTAGGCCGCAGGAACGTACGTAGCAAAGAGGTTATCGGTTTTTTTTTCGACGAAGAAATTGATAGCGGGCCTCAACGGAGAGAGGGTGGTGAGTATGGTAAGGCAAGTCTCGCTAGTGGCTTTTCCGCGAACCACTCGACGGCGCAGCCTCCTCTAGACAATGAAACAAGGGCGGTAAGCAACCGTGCCCCCCCCGAGTTTGTCGAAGACCGCAACATAGGTGCAGTTGATGTCGAAGCGATTTCATGTCTTCCGCGGAAGCAAACCAGACCCACGTCAGCCCGAGTCAGCGGGAACTCAGACGTGCAGGCTTTATCTGACGACACTGCGGCGACGCGGCTACCTGCTGCTAAGATGGTGGTCAACCCCGCCACCCGAGGGAAGAAGGCTGCCAAGCCGTCGGATGCTGCCGGCCATGTTCCCCAATGTCCATTGCCGTTAGAAGCGGCGTTGGGAAAACCTCCAGATACCAAGAGGCATGAACACGACGAACAGAATACTACATCAAAAATCCGACGCGAAGCTTCCGTTGCAATGATGCCCGTATTTGCCAGAGCGAACGGAGGACCATGGAGCAGGGAAGCCCATGATCTATTTGAATTTGCACGCCCACCGTAGGGTGTGCGAATGTAACCCTTTTGCGAATTCTCTAATCCGGGGCGGCTCTGGGAGAAGGGAGAAATAGTTTACGACCAACAAATGCAAGCTAGGATTACGCCGGTTTATGTTGTGTGCAATACTTACAGCAGGGCTAAAAGTAAATTGGGAATTTGTATATCCCGAGGCCAAGTCGCAATGGCAGTTGATGGTAGCAATTTTTGCTAATTTGCCCGTATAATTGTGTTGGCTGTGTTGACTGACAGGGCAACTTGTAGAAAGCCACGACGAACATCATAAAGCAACGCGTTGGCTCGACCTTAAGCGCATATGCTTAGACGGCATGCTACGTGTCAAGCCGACCCTTACCACTTTAGTGCTCTAGCCTACACTGCTGTAAAAGAAGCGCATAGCACCTACGTAGGTGGGGTCTTACTTGCGTCTGTAGCTGGGATTCATAGAGGGAAAAAAGAAGCAAAAGAAAAAAAACTTCCATTTCCCCGCTCGAATCGAATCTCTTGCTTCACACATCTAAGAAACGCTGTGGTCAGCGCCAGAACGACAATTATTGATTTTGCTTCACCGAAAGTTTGGCGAAGAAGAGATATTTAATGTCCAAGATGGATCCGTCTCCCTACTACATTCCTAGGTACCTATGGCCAAATAGCATTGGATGGGTATGGTATATAGCTGGGATCCCGTGAAGAAGTATTCATGGTTGAGAGATGACGCATTACCTCCTCAGCTAAGCGAAATCCAATGATCGGTAAGTGCACCAGCATAGAGAGCTCATATGGGCGCTGCGCTCCGATGTGGAGGGGGTTGTAAAAAATCTGCCTCCTCGTCAGCCTCAACTAGGCGCAGTATGTGCAGTATGTGCAATATGTGCATTCATTGCTACACATATAGGTACATTGTTACAGCAGGTGTACTTAGTATGCCCAGGTACCTAGGTATGTATGTCCTTGAGTACCCCCTCGGGTCAGTCCCTCAAATATTATGTCCCGCTCTATCTCATGTCTGCCATCCCAACCATCACTATACACAGCCGGCCTACTAGTCTACTACCACCTATCTGGACTTTTATCACGTTGAATTTTATCTCCTTGTTTGTTTTATCATAACATTAAGCCCCTGCTGCCCTGCACGGCTTTATTTCTACCTTACCAAGTAAATGTACTGGCAGGCCTCACCACCCATTACAAGGCTGTCTGCTACTCCGTAACTGGGCACTCGATAGGCATTCGACAAGCACTTTGTGCCAACTAGACTATGGCTTCGCCTAATCAAACGCCCAGGGGCTATGAATCGCGCCATGTTTCTAGAATTATTGTCGAACCAACACCCGAGAACCAGAGGATCTATAATGATATTCGGCAGACGCTTGAACGTTTACGCCTGCAAACCCATGTTGCCTCGCAGCAGAACTTGCTACCTCCCCAAGCAGCTCCGTCTATCAGTAGTACTATTCATTCGCCAACAGACGAGCCTGGCACGCCTTCCACCCAAGATGTAACAACGCAGGATACAGATCGATCTAGACGTCAGCGAGGTAGAAGGAGAGGACCGCTAGATTCACGTACTAGGTTGAATACTGCACTCAAACGGAAGCTGAGGCTTGCTTGCCCGTACCATCGGGCTAAGAAAACAACGGTAAAGTCATCAACGACATCACAGCATTGCAACTGTACTAACAAACACCTGTAGTGCGATTGCCATGATTTCTGTCGTCTAGAAGAAGGTTATCAAAAAACCCTAGTCTCTGGTCATGGCAGGCCGCATAGCCGAAACGAGTTTATGTCGCTCACTCCGATAGAACGAACTTGGAATACGTTTGGTGCTGGCGGGGCTGCGACGGCGTCATCAGAGCAAGACATCATATTGAACGACCCGATTGACCTGCAATCCTCGATTGGAGATCGCGAGGCTGTCCGCTCAGACGTACAGCAAATTGTGAGCGGATTCGATGCCGACTCGGTGCATCTAGACAGCGCGATGCTCCAAGCCCCGGGACAAACATACCACCCAGGTAAGGATATGGGTACGCAATCACCGGATGGGCATATACAGCTCGAATTTCTCGAGATTGGCAGCCAGATGGAGACATATCCAAATCGCTGGCAATGCGAGTATAGGGGTTCGATAGATACTGCGTCGGAGACTTCCTCGGAAACCTGTCACTGGACAGGACCGTTTCGCGAGCTGTCTAACCATTTTCGAACAAAACATCATCCCTTTCACGATGTCAATCCACGCTTCTGGCTCGTGTGCACGCGTTGCCGTGCTAGAGCTCGAGCTCCTAATGACTTGGAGTCCCCTTTATCCCCATTCCGATGTACCAAGGAAAGCTGCTTAGGTTCTTCTTGCCAGAGATGGTATTACGGTTCCACGAGAGATGAATCAGTCGCAGGGTCGGCGGTAGCCCTGACCCAATATAGCGAGTCTGAAGCTGGTTATTCTTGGACCTTTCAACCGGAAGGAAACCAGCCATGGCTTGGTGGGGGGGCCTCGAACAACGGATACGGATCGCGTCTCGGTGCCGGGAACCCGCACGAACACCCGTATTACCATAATGCTAAGTGGGAAATCAGTAGTAATTCCTCCATTCCCCTCACTGACTACGGCGATTCCCCGCGAAAACCCATCCGCCCTGCTCGGAAATACTACACGAGCTGCAAATCACCCCGCCAGTGCCCCATACGCTTACTGTCCTTTGCCAAGTTACCTATTAGCCATCTCCTCTCAACCATCGTACCCTTATTGACCACTATTATTCGAGAAAGTAGTCATTTTACCGAGTCAGATCCAGATCCATTACAATCTCGCGCAATTAACACGAACGCATTTAGTTGGTGGTCTCTAATATTAGTCTTGATTGGGTTCGTAACGACATGGTCATTAAAGGACCGGGCTCGGTCTCGGGGTTTCAACGAGGTTAGTAAATAAACATCTTAAGCTACTAGTAGCAATTCTGACAGGTTGTAGCCCATCCGTCGAGATCATCGCCGCCAGCATCGTAGTGGTCAGTTTCCTAGCGACGAAGGTTTTATACGTCATCGTTTCAATACCTTGATGACAGCATAACCAGTCGTTACTACTACAAGTTGTGGAGGATGATTTGCATTATATCATTACAGGAAATTATTTCCTTATAGTTCACTGTTACTTCTTACGGAGTATGGGCGAACAATACTATTTTGCATGTTTGGCATTGATACCCTTTTCATTTCTTAGGTGTCGGTATGGATACACTCACGGCTTATGAGTATCTGGTGTTAAATGGTGGGCATCTTGGATACTCGATCTTAGGAAATATTTATGAGTTGACGTCCTAGGGCCTGCATGGATACATATGATCTATATACACAAGCAGACAAGCTAGGTTACAATAATACACTAACAGAATACACTGACAGTTTTCGGTAGGGGTGCGCATACCAGGTCTTGTAAGGCAGTAAACTATTACTTACTTTTTCAGTCACTCACGTACCTCGATTTCGTACATGGATCCATATACGCCTTCGAGCATAGATATATAGGTAGGTAGTATTGGTTGTTTATTATGCGTATCGGAGTCTCGCTTCGATCGAATCGAGTCATACTATAGTTACGTACCTACCTAGGTTAATCATATGCAAGTATTCTCGGGGATAATTAGGCGGGTCTATGTATAAGGCAGGTATGTATTTTGGTACATATTCCGTGCAACGTTAGCCTCCCGGCCTCCACTACTTTTACTTGACTTACCCAGATCTGCGAGAAGATCTGGTGGGGTTATTGACAGGGAAGCCACTTAAGCTTTAATTTGAACACGAATTCTCAAAATGTTCAAACAAGGCTCTGGAAAAAGAAGATACTAGGTTAAACACAACGAAAAGGAAAAACACCGAAAATAGGTCAATCGAGTTTCAAGAGTGCCGAGGTTGTAATTGTAATAATTGTTAATTGTACAATACGGATTACTGTGTACCTAACTGTGTATGTAATAGCATATTAGTGGCATATACGACGCTAAAGAACTCGCATTGAAATATGTACCTCTAAAATGAAGAAGAGCTGGTCTTAATTTAGGAGGGGTCAGATAATTGGTAATTGGCCAATTCTTGAATGAGTCAAGAGTCAACCCACCTGTTTGGTCTTGCCGATGGATGCCTCAGGCTCCCACGCATCCTTCCCCGGCTGAGATGGGACGGGCATCTGACATTGTTAGTATTTGGTGTAACTGCTCCAGCTAAACACTAACAGATTACAGAACGGAGTACTTGAGAGTTGGAAGGCTCGTACCCACTAAAAAACCATGGTGATTGGTTAAGCGGTCGATCTACCTCTTCGCCGTGGTGGGTCTCAAAACCTTGCTCCGCCATTCTTTGCTGGTGATGAATTGAGGCTTTGCACGCACTAATTGTATTGTATAACGAAAGCTTTGGGGACTGTCAGAAGTGAAATATCATCCTGTGACTCTCCCTCCCGAGATTCGAAATTTCTTCTTCTTTTCTTTTCCCATCTCTTCACACCTGACTATAGACTATAGTAGTAGACTCCACCTAGGTCTCAAAACATACCATTTGACCATTGTCAACCTTTTACTTCGAAATCTTCGAAGACTTACACTCTTTACCCCTGAGTCTTTGAGCTAGACATCGTCGACCTAGGTGCCTAGAATCAAAAAGCAGGTTTCCACTCCCACCACCATACTACCTATCCATACTACCTATCCATACTATCAAACGTTGGCGGTTAACTTGTCTCCCCTCTGTTAGCCTCCTTCGCTCTTATACTATATCATTATTATCATTATACCCGAATTGTAGCTATATTAGCCAATCCACATCAGAGTTGGCGTTACTCATCACCTTTTACGACGGAACTTGGTGCTTACCTGTAAACTCACGTTTGCTCGAAGCCACCAAATCGTCAAGTCGCCAATCTGACCAACCTGCATCGTATTCATTCCCTCGGCATCGCTAATCACGTAGCCAACAACATGTCGTACACGCCCGGTATCAATTCTTCCACATCCCTTATGGGTTTCTCTGTCCATCAGCCTGCCATTGGTGCCCCTTTGCAGTTCTTCCCTGCCATGGGGTCCAAGCAGTTGGACGAGATGATCGACGCTTATGTCCCCGGGGATGCCTCCATCCTTGATAAGCGTGCTACCGTTTCTATGGAATTCTTCGAGCACAGCATGGCGACCGGCGAACTTTTCAAATTCTTCATGGTTTACCCTGCCCTTGGCTCTGCCACTGAATCGCCTAGTATAGCATTGGTTGATTCCGGCTACATCTCCAACTTCACATCTCCTGTTATGTCCGAGAGTCAATGGACTCAAGCTAGCAATATTTCTTCGTCTAGCGAACACAGGACCCAAAAGCAGTCTCACAAGAAGACGGCTTTATCCAATGATTTCTCTCATCTTCCTGGTATGAAGATTTTAACCAAGGATGGACAGGACGTCACCAATTCGGCTTCCCGTGGCTGCAAAACAAAAGAGCAGCGTGACCACGCCCACCTAATGCGTATCATCAAGGCTTGCGATTCTTGCCGGAGAAAGAAGGTACGTTGTGACCCGAGTCACAAGCGGTCGTCCGGTTCTTCTGCAGCTAGGACAGCCAAGAAGACGAAGAAGGCCGCTGCACCGTCCGTCCCAGCATCGGCACCTCCACCGCAGACAACATCAGAATCTTTAGGGCAACATCTATATATGCAATCATTCGACATTTCACACTTATCTAGTTCATCTTTTGACTCCGTCATGTCGGAGTCGCTAGTTGATCCTACTATGGACTGGGATCAATTCGTTCTTTACGACGAGGAGCCATTCGAGACCATTCCATATGACTACGACTTCTTCTTTGACCCCGCGGGCCACCTCACACCAACATCATCCAACTCATACTCGTCGCCATCTCAACCAATTACTCCGGCTCAAATGGCAGACCTCGAGAACACTGCAGTTGGCCTAACAGAAGATCCCCAGGCAGTACTACCACCTTATCTAAACCCAGGTGGCGAGGCTGGCAATAATTACGCCGATTTCAACCTATACTCACCAGGCTCTTCAGTTTACCTAGATGATGACCCAAGCCTAAGTAAGGAAGTTGCAGCATTGTCACAGTCTGAGAACTCGAGACACCTAGACAGTCAACAACTATTTGACTTCCACAGGCGGAAGAATATTACAGACCAAGACCAAGACCAAGACCGGGATCGGGATACTCAACTAGATGTATCTGTAAATGCAGATCACCAAGCATCACTCGTCTCACGAGAACAAGGATCATTGCCAACTGGCCCAGATACATCATCATACCACGAGGGAATATTCGACGCTCTGATCCAATCCCTTGTTGTAGCACGGGGTGACAGCGAGCAGATTAGCCAAGTACCCAGGTCGCGCGTTCCAGTTTCACCAGGTCTACCAAGCCCGTTAGCACCAGTAAGGACAGGTGAACCACGGCTGCAACCGTGGACCTCACCATCGCCAACTGGAGTAGGCGTACCATCCTCTCGACTACACGAATCCCAACTTGGATCATCTTCACCTTCCACCGGTCCAAGAAAAGCTAGTCAGAAACTTGCAGAATGGCACAGTCAACGAGACTCGGTTGCTATACTGACGAGTAGTAGTGGTACGTGGTGTACCACATGTATAAGCTCAGCAGAGCCCGAGGCCATAGCAGAATTGTCTTCGACAAGCCAGTCACGTTGCGAGCCCGGCAAACTTCCTCAAAACGTAAGTCGTTCCTACTATGTATTCAATCGTGGCCCGGGGCTAAGATATTTGCAGAACACGACTACTATCAATACCGGAGAACCGATATCTATTCCTCTCGCTCGTCATACAGCTGATGCAGTCACTGTACTTTCGGTGTCTCAAAATATACCGTCTTCGTGGTCTTCTGTCGCAGGACTAAACGCCCGGGATGCGCCTACACGTCATTCGTTCAGCATTTCTAACCCGGCTTCCCAGAATAACGCAGCCTTGGGTGTTGCTGAGAATTATGGCACCTCTGATGCTGCTGTTCTATCCGCCTCCTTGTCTAAGGCGAGCAGGACATTGCTCTCTCCGGGCGATGGCAAAAAGAACCATGTAGAAAGGAGGCAGCTCCTCTCAGCATCACTAAACACGTCACAGTCACAAACCAGGTCGGATATGCAGAATTGGACCAAGACAATTGCGAATGCAGTGGCAGCATGCCTACTAGTATTTGCATATGCGCCCTTGAGGCTGCTTCATCAGTGGACACTTCTTAGCAACAAAGCCGGAGAACTTCAAACCACTGGGATATTCGTGGGGTCTTTATCCGTTGCTGTCGCTTACACTATGTGGAGGCAACATAGTATGGGCATGCTGGATCTGGCCACACAAGTTCTTCCTTTCCCGAGACGACTCGCCGTTGGTACGAACACCGTCAGATCAAGATATGCTCAACTATCAGAGGGCATCTCCAGGATGCGCGGCGACCTCGAAAGCAACTTCTCCTTGCACTCATTTAAGAAGACTAAGGCCCTAGACCACCGCATGCATCGCATGACAAGTCTTGTCTAATGATGGTATCTCTCGCGATATAAATCATCTCTACTACATACCGTTAGGATTAGCGCCCGATCGCGCCCGTCAGGAAATTCTTTTAAAATATGATACCCCAGGTTAGAAACAAATAGTGGTGGATTCGGAGTGGGCTTCTGGCTCCATACACGTTAGGTTAGGTTAGGTAGTTAAGGGAAAGAAGGTGGTTGAAGGTCAGACCAGCTGATGATCTATGGGAGGTGGTGTATTCAGCGCCTACTTACATAGACTAATACGGCACTTAACCGCCTTTTGTGAATAGTGTCAGCTCTTAATGATCTTGTGATATGGATTGTGTTGCTAGGCCATGTGAAGGTTGCTATTTCATGATTTCCCGTTAATACCCCGGAAATAATATTTCGTTATGAGAGCTCACATAGGAAGTAGTTTTGTATCTAGGTACCTATAGATTACCTAATCCCCACCAACTTAGGTAGTACATGTACTATGTATAGCGGGACGTTCCCGCTCGGGCTAAAGTTACCACACCTTACCTTCTATAGTAAGGCTTAGATCCTACCTATGTACCTATCTATGTAGTCCTCAGTAAGTAACGAACTAGAGCGAGTTAGGCAATTAGCTACTTTATTTATCTCAAGCGGCAGAAAATTCTCAGCCGCGCCGCTGCGACATCTTTGCCTTGTCGTAATATATAAAATAGCTTTTTTCACTCATTAACCTCAGCTCAGTCATGATTACTCGTCTGCATCATAGCTCATGGTTTTCTCACGGATGTGCTACCTCGCCCTACCCTCTAACGACATGGACATGGCCTGGTAGGGAAGAGATATAGCGATATAGCGATATAGCGGTTTCATAAGTGCACGTTCGTTTAGGACCCTAAATCCATTGTAGGTACTAACATCGCTCGCTCTCAACAACTCACTAGGTGAGCTCACCAAAAAAAAAAAAAAAAAAAAAAGTCGTTACCTCCCTAATTGACTTACACGGGACAAGGAGGCTTATGCAGGTCTTGCCTTACCATTCATTGGCGGTCGGCATTGCTTCGTCTCATGATTAGCTGATTATCTCATTCGGCATTCGGCTAGTGG